CAATTCCTTTGAAAAGGACTATTACTTTTATCATTCGGATAAGTGATAAACTAACAACTGATAATGTTCTTTTCCTTTTTTAAATTACTTTAAAAGAAAGTATTACTTTTATCATATGTACTGTTATATTTTGATAAATGATAATTTACAATTATTTAACACACCTATATCAGTATATGGAATGTATTACATCCATCAATATATATGCAAAGGATATGACACTATGCAATAAAAAAAAAAAACGTCTCATACTTTTACAACCGTATCTTTCTTTTACAATCGTATCTTTTTATTTTGTTACAAATTGATGAGTATAAAAATCAATGATACAGTAATATGATAGATGTGGGATGAGAGCATATATATATATGTATATGCTAATTATATTACTAGTGTTCATTAGTTCACCCTACTATCTCTAGTGTTAACAGTATCATTGTCACCATTAGCTATATTATCTGGTATTCCCGTGGGTATTAAATGGTTAGCTTTAGCTTAAAAGGTTAAATAAAAATATAACAAATATTTCATTGACATATTTATATATTATCTTCCTTTTTTTTCTGCATTTATACTTTGCTCTGCTAGCTATTTACCTGTTAGGAGTTAGAAATCATTTACCTGTTAGGAGTTAGAAATCATTTACCTGTTAGATATTAGAAATCATTTACCTGTTAGATGTTAGAAATCACTTACTTGTTGGATATTAGAAATCATTTGCCTGTTAAATGTTAGAAATCATTTACTTGTTAGATATTAGAAATCATTTACCTGTTCAGAAATCATTTACTTGTTAGATGTTAGAAATCATTTACCTGTTAAATGTTAGAAATCATTTACCTGTTAGATATCAGAAATCATTTACTTGTTAGATGTTAGAAATCATTTACCTGTTAGATATGGTCTTTTTCTTTCCATTTCCTCTCCAATTTTTTTACAATTTTTTTTTTTTTTAACTACATTTTTTAATAATTTCAGTTTTCATTTTAGTATTCTTTTTGTTATAATCATAATGAAATTAAAATGAAAAGAATAAATAAAAAAAAAAACTATTTTGAAAAAGGAATTGAAAGAAAATTTGAATAAAATGAATGAAAGATTATCGATAATGGAAAGAAAGCGGAAATGATTTAAACGAAAGCGCTAAAGTTTATTTAGCTTTAATGACAGAAATAGCTAACAAGAAGTTAGTTGTTAGAAAATAAAGTAAAAGGCTTATTGGCTATCAAATCCTATCATCATCCTTTTCATCATCTCTCTCTCTCTCTCTCCTCTCTCTCTCCTCCCTCTCTCTCTCTCTTTCTCTCTCTCTTATTTCATCTTCTTTATCTGTTGGGTCTTGACTTTTAATCCTTAATCAAAAGCCTCCTTAAAATTATGTGATATAAATTAATTATAGAGGTGTAAATGAGTTTATTTCGAAAGAGTTTCAGAGGATTATGCAACAATAAGAGGGGATTTCATTGGAGATTCCACAACAATTGAGCCATATGCTGGCCCGCCGACATTTGGCTATAACAAAAGAGGTCTGAAATGCAATAATTCATTATCATACGAGAATACTATCACTTCTTAAAATAGCTTATCAAAACTGTCAAGTCAAGGGACATTATCAGAAGTATTAATTTGTCTTTTATAATATTGAAAGATAGATAGCCTAGGGATTTTTTGAAAAGTTTAGAAAGAGAATCTAATATATTTAGTTTCTTCCTCCGAAAAACCAATCAATAATCGCACCATTCAGCGCTATATTTTATCATTTCCTTATCTTTTCCAAATTGAATTAATATTGTCAAATTTATTCTTTTTTTCTAATTTTTGGAGCGATTTTGATTTTTCAATTATCAGTTTGCCTTCTGAATGCTGTCGGTATTCCGGTACTTCATGCTGAATCACAGTATAGTGCGGTTGGATCATGGATGCGCGATAATTTACCTTACAATCAAGAAATGGCGGAACGACGATGGGTAACTGATGATTACGCTTCACCGGTGCTCTACGAATATGAAAATGAAAGACAACTGATGAATAAAAAACAAAAAATCAAGTATCGATATTGAACTCATCTTATTTGTATTCGCCCTATGGACAAAATTAATGCATTGCTCTTATTAGTAATCATTAATTAAATTATAATTTGTTTTTTCTAAAATTAGATTATAATTTGTTAGGAGTTAATTATGATTGAATTATAATTTTGTTTTTATAATTTAAATTAGGTCTTCCCAATGTGTGTTTTTTCGTAAGTATCAAGTAGATCAGATAACTGTAATTTCCAGACGGAAATTTTTCGTATATGAAATGCTTATTGGTAACCACCTTATTAGGTTTGAACGTAGATATTTTTACAGTTCCATGATTTGTTATTGGAAATAGATTCCGGTTACTTCCTCTGTAATTTGGGATTTATCTATATGATAGTGGTTTCCATTGAAAGCCATAATCTTTCTGCTTTTAACTTGAAAAAACTTTTCGCATTATTCATATTTTATCATCAAAATTTTTAACATTTAGATATTATATAGACTACTTGGCATCTGGTACAGGTAATATCATTTATAATGGTTCATATTACTATCATCGGCACAGCTCAAGTATGCTAGTTAAGTATGACTTAGAATCAACTGATGAGACGCAAATGGATTTGGGTGATATTTCACATCTAGACTGTTCAAGAAAACCGGACCATACTTTTGAGGTATGCCTGTCTCAACAATCAAACTAACATTTCCTCGTGATAGTTTCTAGAGTTTAAAAAAAATATAGAAGAACTGCCTCCTTTTTCCAAAATTTTTCTCGAAATATCGACCAGATGTACAAATAGAAAAATTTGAAGAACCATTTCTCAAGCATTACAAATCAAGTTGCTTAATTAAAAAAAGTATCAAATTGTCAACCGATGGTGCATCATTTGTCATGCATGACGAAATCAAGCATAATGGACTGGCTAGGACCGTTTGTTCTTCCAAATTCTGGTAGATCACTAAATTCAATTTTATCATTTATCAGTTTTTGGCCAACTACTTATCAACTGTTCATATTATTATTGCTTATGACATCAATCTTAAGAAGTGCAATGAAGCGGAACGTGACGTATGGTTGTATAACCGTCCTCATAATTACGTTGATTATTCTGCTGATGAGAATGGACTTTGGGCAGTTTATGTACGATCTGGCATGCAACATATTACTGTCAGTAAAATTGAACCAGTAAGTATATTGGCATTGAATTCTTTGGTCATTTATTATGGCTACTTTCCGCTTATAAGTACCATTCTTGAATTTCATCCTCTTGGTACTTAAACCACCATGACCAGTGATAGCCTGATCTTCAGTGACACATAGTACTTAATGGAAATATATGTAGAAACTTTCTTCTATCCCTCAAAATTATAGATTGCAAACTATCTGTAATCTTTATATTGAACTTCCTTTGTCACTTAATTAATTACTGCAGAAGAAACTATACGTGCATGTCTCGACGGCGTCTAAATTATCAGTTGCAAATATGTAGCAAGTGATGACTTATTCCGGATCTTATTCAGGATATGCAAGTAGTTCGAACATGGGACATTTATGAATTGAATGCAACAAGTGTAGCTGAGACATTCATCATGTGTGGAATATTGTATGGATTAAAAAGTGCCACAGATCGAGACACTGTTGTCGATTTTGCCTATGACTTATTTAAGTAAGCCAATTTGGATCATTAATTTCGCGGAAATGAGTGGGAAAAAAAATCGGCGTGTTTTGTTTCAATTTACCCTTCATCTAATGAGCTTTTAATTATAAGAATGATCAGTTATCGATTAATTGGAAACATTGAATTATTATTTCTTTTAACAGGTTACTTCACTATCCAAGTGAACTGGAAATAGACGTTCTATTAAGATTTCGATTTTTGCAAAACAAAAATATTTAGATACAGGGATTTTAAAAGTAATTCTTTTCAGGAATGAAACAATCGATATAAACGTTAAGTGGTACAATCCGTACGGTGGCTTGACCATGTTGCATTACAATCCGGTTGATGGACGTTTATATTTCTTCGATTCAAAGCGATTACTGAGTGTAAATGTCCGCGTAGAAGGTCAAACGGATCAATTTAAATTTTCGGATTTTGACTAATTATTCTTTGTATATCATATAAGACACCAACTCATAATATACCAATTTCCCTCACTTTTGAATTAGGGTTATCGTCGAATGTATACTAATAATACCAGTGATTATTTTATAGGGAATATTAAGAATAGGATAGAAGCTAGAGATGGTAGACTGAAATTTATCAGATATTTCTTCATGTTGAAGCTTTTGGTGAATAAAATGAAGTAGAGATCGGATAAACTGGCAAATTATTGGAGAAATGCTCATATTTTAGTTCGTGGTAGTACTGTATAATTATGAGCAGCGCCAATCATCCAATCAATTGATAATGGCGTTTAAACGTGTCAAATCTTTCTGAACAAGCAAAGTGCATGAACATTACAGTGAAATGATGACTGTGTCTTCTATTCTTCATTGAAATTCTCATTTGAAACTCTCAAAGAAAGTGCTATGAAGCAAACTTCCTAAAATTTCAATTCTATAGAAAAAAAAAGACTTCGGATAATGTTTACATCTAAAAGGTTAAAGGTAAAAACTAATCATTCGAACTATTTTTATTCAAATTATTTTCTCTTTGTTTGGACCTACATATCCTCCACAGGTATGAATCGTTTTCATTGAAGTCAAAAAAGGACAGGTATTTTGTCTGTTTCTTTTCTTTTTAAATAATTGATTTGGAAATGAATGATTTGATACACAATACATTTCTTTCACTATTCATACGAAAGCGCAGGATTCTAAAAATTTTTTAGGAAGTAAAGGTCAGCAAGGAACTACCTAACCAAAGAGTGAAAGCCAACAAGAAGCTATCTAACCAAGGGGTGAAATCAAAAGTCAGCAAAAAGCTACTTGACTAAAGAGACCAAAATTTTTTCTAAAATATCGATATTTTTTAGCTTCCCACTGTTTGTCTTGTTTGCCTTGCTTTCCATTGTTTGCCTTGTTTGCCTTATTTGTTATCAAGTACTTGCCTTGTTTGCCTTGCTTTCTATTTTTTGTCTTGTTTACAAATTTTATTTCAAACTCATCTTCAAGAGACTGATATTTTTTGTTTCCCATTACTTTTTTTCTGTTTATTTCCTTTCGCATTTGCTGTTTGATTTCTCCCATAGCTTTTTACAAAACTGAACTGAACCCAGACCAGAATTCAACTCCCGTTTTTCTGTTCGGTCATCAGAGATTATTCTCGTTATCATTTCTGCGGGAAAAAGAAAAGGATCTATTTGCTTCTTGAAGTAATATGACAGGAGAAAGTTACCAATCATATATATCATACAAGAACAATATGACTCAAAGATATTGATGTTTTTGACAGCATGGAGTAATAAGAGATTAGAATTTCCTATTCAGAAATTCAACTAATGATCGATGAATGATAACACGCTAACTACTAGCATCCTCAGTTTCCTCGTTTCAAACATCGACACAGATGGGTTATCTGGTTTCTCGAAAATTTTCTTTTTTACTAGTTAAAGTGAAATTCAAAGAGTTGCAAATTTTAATTTAATGCAATGGTACTCGCAAGAGCTAAATTACTTTGGGTGTAAGTGTAAGATGAGAATTATGAGCATCAGACTGTTCCTTTGAAAGTGCAAATTAGGACCAATATATGGGGGTTATGAAAAAAGAAATAAATCAGTTAACACCGCCTCGCACTCATATGAGTGACAAGAACGCTGGTGTGAGAAATTTGTTTCTCTCTTTGCTTTCAGTATTTTCCACTCCTCAAACTTCTTGTGTTCCTCTGCAAATTTCCAAATATTCCCACCCTGATTATCCGCCGTTAGAATGTCAAAGTTTTTTTTTTTAAATTAAAGTTTCATCTTAATAATTCAGCATTCCTCACCTAAGAACTTTTTCTAGTCCCAGTTAACTGCAATAAGGTCAGTTATGTATTACTTGAATCCTTAATCCTTAATTGTATCACAGTTTACTTCACGAGATTGATTTTATTTAACTCTTTAAATTCATTTTAATTCACTGATCTTTACCATACAGTTTGAGAAGGAAAACAAATCTCAACTTTTTAAAGAAAAATGAATTTTTCATTGATTCCCCTCATTCGCTAACTTCCTAAGACATTTTTCCTTTGTTTTGCAGGAGGACTTCTGTCCGAAACGACCTCCAAGAAAAAAATGAAGTTATCAGAGATGTTATAGTACGGTTGACTCTTGTTTTTATTGTTGTTGTCGTGGGAACATTTTTCACATTTTCCTTTTCAATTATTGTAATAATTCACGTTGATAATTGGATTTCAAATTCGAATGTTTCGATGAACTTCCAAGAATTATTAGTAAAATCATTTTTCGTACATTTTTCACTTCCTTCTAAGATTTGTTCATCAATAAATGATGATGTAAATATTATTAAATAGCAAAGTACCTTTTTGGAATGCAAAAATACTCAGTTCATTTATAATAAATTGTTTTTCCGAAATTTTATTCATTTTATAAAAAACTTTTCAGAATTATTTCCACCCTTCCAAATGTCATGTCTCCTTTAATAAATTCATTGTTATTTCATTGGCATTGTGTTCTTCATTTTTACCCCTCAAATATTATCTCACGATTCTCATATTTCATTCGAATTTATTTCCTCCAAATATTTACCTATTCAATTCCCGTGCATATGTAGGGGAGAAACGGGGAGAAACTTTTGAAGGAATAACGCAATGAGACATGGGTAAAAAAGAAGAGGGATAGAATTTCGACAAGAATACGTTAGAAGAAAATTCTTCATTGGGAAATCCCACCTATTTTTAACCTCTCCGTACCCACTACACTAGTTTTTCTTACATTTAAATTTAAAGACTCAGATGTCCGGACCATGTTTTCCACCAGAGGGTCTTTCCGGGCTGTGAATAGAGTATGTGGATGTATATGTGAAGTTGAAGGACAGTTTAGTGATTATTTCTTTTCTGTCGCGGTCAGTTAGCTAACCGGGTGTAGACCTCCCAAAGGAACCACAGGAAGGTTTGAAAACTAAAAATATCTTGAAATTTCTTTGAAATTCTTCTGCAGTGCAAATCGCTGCAAATGTTTTGTTGGTACTGTTCCTAGTTGGAGTACCGTTGTTACAGAGCTGTAGGTGGTATTGCTATACAGGTGTGAAATCTTTTATCGGGAAGATGGCTTTCATGCAACAGGTCAGTTTTTTCGCTTGCTTACTTCGCTCTTCCATTTTTTATCAGTTTTCTACTTGTTTACTTTTTTTTTTCATTTATTTACTTTCTGTACCGATAACTTGCCTTTTATATCTTGAAATAAAATGGACATACGTCTCCGGTAGGATTTCCTGTGCCAGACAGATCTTAACTGAAGGATCAGAGAAAGTGTGTCCACGGACAAGATGGGCTCGCTAGCCTCCCGACAATCATCCTAGGAGAAGTGCAACTCTAACTCCAGTTTCTTAACTACATTTTAGCCACAGTGTTCAACTAGCTGAGTTCGGAAAGGTAACTGTTACTTGCCGAAGTTGATGTCTGACATGTAGGTGGAAGCGTGCATGTAACTAAGAAACTATAAAGCAAACTTATTTTTTATCACTGTTGACTTTTCTTTTGTTGTCGACACTGTCATTTATGTAAAAAAGTGTATCGAGGTGACATCTTACTGATCTTTCTTTTGGTTTTGTAATAAAAATTTAAGCCTGAGATTATTAGTAGTTTTCTTATCCAGTAAACACATCTGACTAAATGATGATATATTTAAGGTTGAAAACATAGCATGTGTGGGCGCTGGATATGTTGGTGGGCCAACGTGTGCCATGATCGCCTATAAATGTCCGGAAATACGGGTCACTGTTGTGGACATGAACGCGGAAAAGATTAAACAATGGAACTCGGATCATTTACCTATTTTTGAAGTTTCCTTTCCATCAATTGTTTTATCATCCTTTTAAAACACTTTCTAAATTATCGCTGGGTTGTTTTCTAATTTCTGATTTCCAAAATTAAAATTTTCCTTTATAATTTTCCAGTACATAATTTACAAACGTCCTTTGTAGCCAGGTCTTGATGAAATTGTAAAATCATGTCGCGGAAAGAATCTTTTTTCTCCGACGATGTATCGTCAGCAATACGAAGTGCACAACTTATTTTTATGTCCGTTAATACACCAACAAAAACATATGGAAGAGGAAAAGTCAGCATCAAATTTATTCAGAAATTTAGGTTCCGTCTGAAAATTAGTGATTTCTTGGCAATCAGTGAATTTCTTAGCAATGTTATCAGTTCTGTTAATAAAGAATAGTATAATATGTGGTACGGAAATTCTTTTCAACACTTAGTTATGCCATGGTGTGTTTTTGTCAAATACGATGAAGTTTTTTCTTTTCAAATTGTACCCAGATAAAGAAATGAAGTAATGGGTAGAAAAACCATACATACCTAAAGTGTTCATCGACAGGAATCATAACGCTGTCAATTTCAGGGTATGGCACCCGATCTGAAATATGTCGAGTCTGTTTCGCGTGCCATAGCAGAACATTCCCGCGGTCCGAAAATTGTTGTTGAAAAAAGCACGGTGCCTGTAAAAGCTGCTGAAAGCATCACTGCTATATTGAATGAAGCACAGAAAAAAAATCCTCAACTTTCTTTCCAAGTAACGATAAATTTTGATTGTTTTGCTTGAAAAGCATTATTATAAAGTGGAGAAGGAACGAATTAGCATATCCAGGTTCTCATTCCTGCGAACAGCCATGTTTTCCTCCCTGCTTTGCATGCCACCATCTAGATTTTACAACGTAGAAAACTGACGTATTCTTCTATGTTCTGGTTCCATTCTTAAAAGTTCAGGTATTATCGAATCCAGAATTTTTATCAGAGGGAACAGCAGTAAATGATCTGTCAAATCCAGATCGTGTTTTGATAGGCGGCGAAAGTTCTCCGGATGGTTTGGCAGCTATGGCTCAATTGATACAAATTTACGAGCATTGGGTTCCACGAGAAAGAATTATAACTACTAATACTTGGTCTTCAGAGCTGTCGAAATTGGCAAGCGCTTTGTGTCGCATTTTTCGGATTAAGAATTAATTAATTTTTCAATATGATGAGTAGTATATTTGTTTTGCGAAATTTTTGAGGCATGAATCACGAAATCTTCCATTTTCATGCAAGTAATTTTGGCTTAGCGAAACAGCATACTGTGGTTAAGTGTATATTCTTATCTTGACAAAATGTTTAGTACTAGTGTTTAAGTCATCAACTAGGTAGTTCAACTGAGTAATTAAATTGATGCTTAATTCAGCAACTAAGAGTTGAAGCACTTGGATACCACTCGTTTTCGGTTTTTAGGCAGCGAATGCATTCCTTGCCCAGCGAATATCAAGCATAAATGCAATATCTGCCATCTGTGAAGCAACTGGTGCTGATATACGTGAAGTTTCTTATGCAGTTGGTCGAGATACTCGTATTGGCAATCAGTTTCTACAAGCCAGTGTTGGTTAGTTAACTAAAATGTTTGTCTTGAAATAACTGGAAAGAAAGAGTTTTATTTTTTCTCCTAGTTGTGTAAAAATGAATTTTCTAGGCTTTGGAGGTAGCTGTTTTCAGAAAGATGTTTTAAGCCTTGTTTATCTCGCCGGATCTTTGAATCTTCATAAAGTAGCTGATTATTGGTTGCAAGTAAGTCGAATAGGGAAGTTCTTGTTTTTGAATATCTAGCAACTGAAAGCATAAAGTAAATAAAATGATTAGTATGCCGTTTTATGTAACTTTCTTTTTAATTGAGTTTCGAGACGTAGGTCTCGGAACTCATTGAAATGACAAATTTCCAACCTCAATTTCGAAATCTCAATCTTATGCTCTTTCTAGTTCTCACGCGTATTTGAAAGAAAAAGTGAAATAATGAACTACAGAGTTGAAAATTAAATCTAAAAATAAGTGCGATTCATAGGTTGTTGAAATCAATAATTGGCAACGGAGACGTTTTGCTGATAAAATTATTTCTGAAATGTTTGATACAGTATCAAATAAAAGAATCGCTGTATTTGGCTTTGCTTTCAAGAAAAATACTGCTGATACGAGGTTTTTACATTCAGTTACATATAAAATCTTTGAGTTCATGAAAATGATCTATGAATTCTGTAGGTTTCGTTTACAGTTCAAAGAAAAATGTGCAGATCTTCATTGGTGCAGATCCTCATTTCTTATTTTATTATGCTTTGGTTTACCTTTTTAGACTTTTATCGATAACTATTGTGGGATACTGAGCACAATGCAGTGTGCTTAAAAATAAAACTGGATTATTTCATCCACTCGATTAATTTAATTAGTTCTATTATTGTATCAAAATCTAATTAATTTTCTTAGAGAATCCTCAGCTATTCACATAGTAAAGTATTTGCTTGATGAAGATGCAAAATTGGTTGTATACGATCCAAAGGTACCAGAATCGCAAATGCGTTATGAACTAAATCAGATTTCCTCCAAAGAAACTGGTATACACCGCATATTTATTTATTGCCCCTGTTTATTTCCTTATTTTTGAATTCATTTCATGCAAGAAAATAATTTGCTTAGTGGTCTACAAATCTTATATTTTATATTCACCCACAAAAATAACCTTCAATTTCAAGATTTCTTTATGACAAAAAATATAGCTTGGGAAAATAATATAGTTACAATGAACCTCATTTTATGTTTCTGCTCATGATTTTCAGGCGTTGGAGGATTTTTTTTGGATTAGAAATGGTAAAGAACTTATTATAAGAAGGAACAGTTCACACTAAACAAAGAAATAATTTAGGGGTTTTTTTCCAGTTGATAAAATGTTGACATTCTCGAAGGATCCATACGAAGCGGCGAGAAATTCACATGCTATAGTTGTGCTTACAGAATGGGACGAGTTCAAAGTAAGTCTTTTTGTTTTCTAGGATGGTAATGGGTCTTTTTATGACTTTTATAGTTTTTTCTGTCCCTTTTTGGCTTTCATTATCTATTATTTGTCATCGCTATATGGTTCCTTACTTTGTGTTGGCATAATGATGAGTCTTACTAAGCAAGAATTACAGCTGGTAACTTCCAAAAATCTCTACATATGTATTTTAAGTACTATATGGTTTGTCGAGTAAAGAATTGGCAGCGAAATACTTGATAAATTTCTGATGTTGAATTCTATAATAATGCAAAGAAGACGGTTTTTCAAAGTCGGGCGTTATTAAGGCACGGAATTTCCAGAATTACGACTACAGATATATTTTCAACTCAATGGCGCAACCGGCATCAGTGTTTGATGGTCGGCTCATTCTAGATCATAACAAATTGCGCGAGATTGGTTTCCACGTATCTGCAATTGGAATCGCCTCATCGCAGCCGTGCAAAAACTGCTACAAATAGGTCTTCTTCATGGTTACATCATCGTGTTCATCATAACATAAATATTTTAAATGCTTCTTGCGGCTGACGTGATACATGAGCAAGAGGTAATTTCATTTCGTAATTTTTTAACGTTGTGAAGTTTCCAAATTCATTACCCATTGCTATTTGATTATGTTACCTATTCTAGTTCACTTTAATTTACTTCTGCTTATCAGATGGGATGAATTATTCGTTGCATTATTGAAAATAATGAGAATAGAAGCTTTGGGGACAATAAAGAAGCTAAATCTAGAAATTCCAATGAGGAAAATATGGAAATAATTTGAAATTGAAAGAGAAAAATAGAAACGACTGGAAGTGTCCGTTGTAGATGCAACGAAATAGATGGTGAAACGAAAACGAAAACGTTGTAGATGGTGAAATTTTTACTCTTTTTCAACACTAATTTCAGTATTTTTTTTTCATTTTCATTCTCATTCCTATATTATTCATTGATTGTGCCTTATTTGGAATGATGCAGACTAAGACAAGTATAAAAACTTTCGTAAAGGTGAAAGAAAACCTGGTCCTGTACCAATCTATCCCGATGAACTTAATAAACCGTCATTTGTATTAGTACAGTTTCTTGTTATAAAAGCGTTTCAAAATAATCAGCGGAGGACTTATTTTAAAAGCTGGACTGTTTAAGTTGGAAAATATCTCCTGTACAAGCAGATATTATCAATGTTTAATAAACTAATACGTTGAAAGTTTTGATCAAAGTTCATTTATAAATTAACGGTTTATTATTTTTGAACCTTGTGATCTCTGCTACAAATGAAAAAGCTGGTATGGTTCCTGGTCAAGAAAAGGATGGGAACCATTTTATTAAGTTTTAAACTAATGGTACAAAAAGAGCAAGAGTACCGGCAGCAGATTCGATTGTACTTCCCAAGTGTCGGGTGAAAAGTTTATATTAAACAATTTTATGTACTTATTACGAACAAATAGTTAAATATTTTTGTCAGATTGAATGAAGTAGAATTTCACTTCAACTGAAAGAAACAAAATGAGTTATCGTTTACAACCAATCTGGACCCGGAGGATTGACAGGGTGAGAGTTTTTTGATGACTTGGCAATAATTGGTTAGTTGAACTCAGGAGATATGATCTTCAGAAGAAAAAAGTATGCTAAGCAACACTGGCGGCAATTTACAGATGAAATGGTTGACTGGCTTGAGAGATAATACAAGGTACATTGCAACTAATTTCATCGTCCAGAAGATCCATTTTCGTAATATTTCTCTCCTAAATGAAGTGATCGCAGGAGCTGGTGAATTGCTGATTTCGTCTTTTTTTTTTTTTTTTGCTTTACTATTACCAGTGAATTCAATCTTCCTAAAGGCAGCAAACGATCGAAGTTGTGCATTTGTGTGAAGGATGTGGAATGAAGTTCGCTTGCAAAGCGGAAAGGTTGACATAAGTCACCAAGATTTGAAGTTTCACAGCCGGCAAAATCGTAATAGCTCAATTTCCACTCAAATTTGGCAGTATCTGAATGGTTCAAGCTTTGTGCACATGTAAACACCACCAATACTCTCTCCTCTATCAGAATTAGCACAAGTTTTTCAGTTTGGCTTTTTTATGCAGTACACGAATTGTACTTAATATTTTGCGTATCTTACCAAAAAACATACTCCATGTTTCCCTGTTCTAGTAGCTATGTTATTACTTGTCTCACAAAACAATCATAATTTTCCTGTCTGGTTGCTTTTACTTCCTTAACATTGGAGAATATTTTGCTTTGGCATTTACCAAATAACTTTTACGTACTTGAAAGTAAGTGCTATTATTGCTTTTTATAACTGTCGTAGATGAGATTCACCACCGTCGGTAACGTCTCATTTTTTGGAACACTTTCTGCTGTACAGTGCTAATTTTTTCTATATTCTCAGAGCTGATTTGCTGGTTTATTGCTGCCGGGAGTTGGAGCAATAAAATAGGATATCACTATCTTACCCATCTGACAGGTTTTAAGATAAGTGATTCCACTCAACTAGGATCAAATGCAATCATGAATTTTCAACCTAAACCCTCAATTTTTAGGAATTTCAGACTTTGCGGAATTTTTTTTGACTTCAGAAACATTTTTAACTTATTTCCTTCCGAAAAATATAAATTCAACGGTATTCACAAGGTAATGAGGATGGTGAAAACAGATATCACTAGGATATCCATCTGACTGATCAGACTACAATGAACGAAAGAAATCCATGGGGCGAGAAGAAAACGCCTATTGGTCTCACAGAAAAGTAAGTCTCTATTAAACCACTAGATTAACAGATTCAAAAAACTTCATAATTACTGGAAAGTGATTTTGGAAAACAAATCTAAAAATGTATTCGAAAATCAGCAAGAATATACTAGTCGGATTGAGCTGAATCAAAATATAGAAAGGAAATGATGCAGGTATATTACGAACCATATAATAAGCAATGATTCTTATTTATACAACAATAAGATTTAATAATGGAATTTCTCAAAGGCAACTAAAAAATTATATGATGAATATAACTCGAGAACACTACCATCAGGTCACACAACTGTTATCTACAATATCACATTATATGAATAAAACACGAAATGTTTCAAGATGTAAAGAATGAAAAATCGCCAATAGTGATGTTTTCCCCAGTTCTATGTGTAGCCTTACTGTGCCGAAAGGGCAAAAATAAGTAGATTAGTTAACTAAATACGTTGAAAAACTCGAAGACAAAACAGTTAACTTCTCGCAGATGTATTGATTTCTGAGGAGAAATAGGTTGGGCGTAATTAGTTCAACTTTTAATCCCATATGATAGTGAAATTTATTTATGAACTAGTGCTGCTGCTTTGAGACCAGCTCTTTATACTTCATTTCAAGTTCTCGAATTTTGCTTCGCGCCTGCATCAGCTCTCCACGTAGTTCACCAATCTGAGAGCTCAGCTCTTTCTCCACTGTTCTCGCTTTCTCAAGATCTGCCGCCATATGCGCTTTCTCATTCACTACAAGCATTATTGTAAATATATGGCAAAGATATTCATTATAATTCATTTTACTTTGTAATATAATAAAGGATAAACTGTGAAACTTCGACCGGAGCTTGAGCCGCTTCTCGGAGCTTCGTCAAATGCAATTATGCCACCGAATCAAGCAAGAGGAGATTGAGGATGTAGCATAAATGGATATAAGAATGAATAGATGAAACATGCCTTCAGCATCCTTCAGTAACTCGCATAACTTCTTATAACGATTTTTGTACTTGGTCACTTCTGACTCTGCTTTCAATTTTACTTCTTTTTCCAGGTTCATTTGCCTAAGTGTTTCCACCAGTTCTGATCGATATAATGCAACCAAATGCTGCTCTTTCTAAATACTTTATTTAAAAAAAAAAAAACTTGCGTATGCATAAATGATAAAAATTCAAATCAATAAATTTCGTAACTATGCATGTTAACAAAAATTTTAAACTCATAAAGAAGTGTGAAATTCCTGCTATGGAAACCTACAGTCTTTTGAGGCCCATCACTTTTTGTGAATAGAGCGGAAGCTTGTGAATCAATTTCCGATATGAGCAATTCCACTGCATCATTCGTCCTCACTGTTTCCTGCTCTATCCGAGATTCTGTGTGAACCTGAAACTGAAAAATTCAACTCCTGAAGCCGAATGCACCAGTCACCATTTCTGTTAACACTTCTTCGAATAATAAATCAGCTGGAAGTGAAACTGTCTACTGTCACTCAAATATCAAACATCGGATGATGCTATCCCTTGCTTGAGGTCGGTAGATGCTGTGGAAGCCATTTGGCGACTGTTTTCTATTGCTTGTTGTAAATCCTGTAAGGAACATTTATGACAAGAATGAAGAAATTATCTGACAAAAATGTGTGTAATGGAAGATATGTTCGTGATTTCGGATGGAGAAGGACACGACTGTTTTGATTAGAAAAATATTCCACACATAGCAATCTGCAGCAGCGTTTTTGTTCCTTTTATAGTACTCCTCACATAGAAGTAATAAAATACTGGATAAGAGAAAGGGCCTTAACCTGCATGAAAACCAATATGCAAAGAGATTTTTAAAAAAGCAATGTTAAGTTCCTGCTGAGTAATAATAAAGAAAGACAAATACCTCGCGGTATTTCTTCTCCATATAATCCCCATCTCCATCTTGCACTATGAAGCCATCTTCCACAACAGTAGGTACCTTGAAATATAAATTGGATCGCTTTTTAGAAATTATGAATTGCTTTTTGAAATAACCTTAGCTAATTCATACTGTATATGGCAGAGCGAAATCAACGAATAAATCAATGATTTCTTTGTTAAAAATTGTACTTTTCACTTACCTTTTTAGTCTTTTTGCCCTTATTTTTTCGCTTCTGTGGTATGGAATGCACGATGAAACCACCACCACTTTTATATGTGACTGTTTTTTTTTGATTTTCATGATTCTTCTTCTGAAAATAAATCATGAATCGATGAATGGAAAAAAAATCTCGACGAATAAGCAAATCTTCCTAACTTCATTTTCTATAGAATAGTCTGCATGTAACCAAAAAAAGCTGTTAAGGTTGTCAAAGGGTCTATGTCCTTTACATGTCCTTTACAGAATCACCTAATCCAATGATTTGATCTCTCAAAGCAGTTTAGACAAAAAAGGCTATGAATAACTCAAGAGACGAACCAAGCAACAATTCAGACCACGTGAAGATTGGTTCTTAGATCATTACTGAAGAGCTGCTGTAATCCATAACCACTTCTAAGAGTTTCCTCTTTTGAACTCAAGAGCAATAAATTTGTTCCCATCATTTCAATCCTAACAAATACAGTGAATAACCTGTCCAAGTGTCGCTTTACCCATCAACTTAGTGCCGTCATCATCATCATTTGACGAACTCGTATCGTCGTAAATTTTCAAGCATGAGAACTTCGAGCGTTCACCAACAATAGGCATCTCGTATAAGTCCGATGTTTAGAATGTCTCAGAGAACACTAAACTAGAGAAATATTCTTTCGACAATGTTCGCAACCGCCTTTACAGAATGATATATAAAGGTTCCCGCGAAATGTCTTATGAATAACTGTGAGAAATTATTGTTTATTAATAATAATACTCAATAATTGCCTTTTCAATTTATTCAGGTGTGAGTATTGCTGTATTTGAGTAATAAATAAAGTATAAAACGAGTAATAAATTTGAGTAATAAATGAAGTATAATAAAAACGAAATAAATTGACGAGAAAACTCTAGAACAGTGAAAGTACGACAACATCCTCAAACGAACAATCTCCCCTAGCACTGTCTAGCAACCGATATTCGGATGAGACGACTAATTTCACACTACCCAGTTGGAAATAACTCTTTTTCACTCTACCCTTGTGTGAAATGGTGAATATGACGTAACGTGGTAGTATAATGGCATGTTACTGAACAAGAGGTGTGGAGATGACGAGTTCGATGTCTGAATGACTTGTGATGCATGCCATAGACAAGAGTATCCTCTAAGAAGTTCCGATCCATCATCTTCTTTATTCATTATTATCAACGCCAAAAAATTGAGGCTGATTTTCCATTCAAACGATCTCGTATTGCAAGTACTACAGTTGGCACGTTTTATGCTGTCACTGAATCCTATGAAGAGTAAGGAGCGTGTTTTCTAGAATAAAAAGCGGAGAGTACTACACAGACTAGAGAGATAGCCTTTGAATGATAAATACAACTCAAGAATTGATAAATACAACTCAACTCTGGAACTCAAGAATGCATAAAACTTTATGCATCGTTGTATTAACATCGAAATGAGAGGGATCGTAATTGGAAATGAATCCCGATATACAAAAATAGTAACATGACATAAATAGGCAACTGCGATGTAAGGGAGAGAACTGCCACTGGAATTACGTCGACGAATCCACGAGACAGCATAATTACAGTGAGGTATTAGGGGGTAGGCATAGCGTTTTCCGAACCAGATTATCCGCAATACGCTCGAATTGTAAACGATCTTCACGCCACATTTTTGCTGCATTTACGTTGGCAGCACTTTCGTCGTTTGGTTCTAAAAACAGACTTTATTGTAAGTGGCAATTTTACTTTGACCGGTCACAGAATAATATATTGCTCATGCTACTAGCAATTAAGTAATTTTTTCCACGAGAAACTCATAAATCAGCAATATATTTGAAAAGCACTCACCAGCAAGCATAGATACTACAGAAAGCAGGATTTTTTCGATGGACTGCACCGGGGACCATCGTTCTGCACTTGACTCATAGCCCGTTGGATCATCACCTGGAGAATGAAGGATGCTAATACAAACACGTCCGTCCGGGTAGATGTTTGGATGAAAGATGTCACAAGTAAACTGCATTTTTGGCGGAGAAAGAGGGTAATCCTGAAATAAGCCAACTGCTCTGAAGTCAAATTTAATTCACTTAAATCCGTACTAACCAAATGCAGACAAAAATAAGTGCCATCGGAAATAACAATCCAAATTTATCTTGAAGCTTAAGCACTTGTGCAATAAGAAATTTGATAGGATGTGATAGTCAATAAAACACAGAAAAGAAGATACTTTAAAAGACCGGAACCAAACTACAAATCAAAAGCATGATTTAATGATTATTAATCGAAGTTACTTGATCAGATTGAAATTACAATTTGTTGTAGTCTGCCCACAGCGAAAACATTTTTTACTCACTATAAACTTATAACATACCAGTGTTAAACATTAACAAATACTAAACTCGTCCATTAGTTACCATTGAATATGAGTTATCGAGATAATCAATATCCAGTTATTCATTTTTAAATCATTCTAAGAAGACAATGCCAGAAGATATGTAAAAGATTAGACGCATATGAAACTGAATAATGGCAAAAGTACCTGCGGGAAAACAATCTTTGCTGGAAAGACGCCATTTTCAAAACATGTCTCATCAGGTCCCGTGATTAGACATTCCCACTCGAAAAAATTATCTTCACTAATTGGTCCAGCAATAATCCCTTCAGGTGGATTTAACGTCAATTCTGTAACACAATTCTGCCGCGGAGTCATACACATCATGCATACTTGATCACTATCGCTTCATCTATTTCAGTTACTAACAGTAACTGATTGGAATATAAAATCCCATAAAAATTTAGCACAGTTCCTATCCTTCTCTTTGTGCTACCATGAATTTCCCAAGTAAATACTTCACATTTTCGATGCAAAGCTTCCATTATTTCAAACATAACTTACGCTTGTACTCAGCCATTAATCGCTTCAGTGCATAACCTGCCATCCCTCACCGATCTGAAACATTTTTTCGACGCTTAATTTGTACATGAATCATCCCAACTTACTGATGAATCTTTTAATTAAACGTTTAAAAAACCCTGTCTCTGCCGAATTATAAGTCTCTTTTCAATTACAGATAAGTAATGCTTGTATGCACACACACGGCGCATCAACAAATCCCGCTTATGCATAATCTTCCGTCAACAAGGCACATACTAATCAACCTAATCTTTAACCAATACTTACCAAACCGAAAATTTTTTCCCTGCTAACAGAAAAAGCACAAATGAACATCTCGCAACTATCTCTACAACAGTATCATTTACAAAACCCTTCCATTTTTATGAATCTACATATTATTCTTCTTGCTCACAAATAAATTCTTTCTTCCCTAGATAAGCTTTCCTAGATTTATGAATCTACATATTATTCTCCTTGCTCACAAATAAATTCTTCCTTCCCTAGATAAGCTCTGAAAAAGCATGACAAAACCACCCAGTATGCGTGAAAAACTTGTGATAGCTTTTGATTGGCACATTTATTGATCGCAAAATACGATTCTACAATTATTATAGCAACAAGATGAAAATTTCATGACATAATTTTAACATTTCGAAAGCCTACAGTACACTACAAATTCCTTTAAGTCCATTGTATACCGGAAAAAATGCTACCAAATTAAAGAAACTTCGCGAAATACAAATCACAAACAATAAGATGCACAGATTTTATCACTGGAAAGAGGTTCTCTAAAAAAGCTTCAGAAAAACTGCTGAAAAAACTGGAAAGTCCTGGAACTGGTAATAATAAATGGTAATCCATCTATTTATATGGAAAACTTAATCATATCCCCAATTCCAAAAACAAATCTTTCCATTTCCTTATAACAGTATTCCACGCCTCCAAAAAAGCAACCAGCTGATAGGATCCATACATAAATAAATATATAGAATGAAAAATAACTACCGAGAGATGAATAATGATGCTGGTTAAGTAAGATAGTAAAGCTCATTTATTGGTTTGCTTCCCCTTTTTAATAAAATTAATGATGCCATTTGTGCTGGAGTCATGAGAAGTGCATTGCGTATCCATTTCAAATTCTTTCTGGATAACTTTTGCCAGTTGCTTACCAAGCTCAACCCTAAAAAATGTAAAATTAAGTACCAAATTGATTTACAATTTTGAATACTATTTCGCTTTATAGAATAAATAGCTAATGCACGAAGAATAGAAAGTGTTATGAATATCTGTAAAATTAAATTCCGATTCATGAACGTGAGGATTTTAAAATAAAATAAATATGGAAATGAAACCATGGAATAAAAATAACAGGAAACAAACCCCCACTGATCGTAGCTGTTGATATTCCAAATGACACCCTGAACGAAAATCTTATGCTCATATAGAGCAATTAAAATGCCAAGAGTAAATGGAGATACTTTGGGTAGTATAATTGAATTTGTGGGCCTGTTTCCTTCAAATACCTACAAAAAGTGGTTAACTTATAGTGAATTTCATTAAATATCTTATAGTGAATGTCATTTATTGTGGAAATAATATGTTTTCAACTACAATAATTCTTCTGCAACAATGAAATGAATTACAACTTTTATACTGTCGATAAACTACCGAAGAAATTGAAGTAACATTTAACAGAGGGTTGTATTAAAGACAAAGGTTTTAATTGTTCCACGCATTAACTGTACCATACTAGAAAAAGTATTGCACTCAACATTAGGAGAAGACTTGATAAATGCATAAATACACTATACGCCGTAAAGAACAAGTACAGTATAATTATGTATGAGGGAACGAGTAAAGTATAATTACGCTGATAATGTTACTAAATGAAAAAGTGACAAATACTTTTCTTATGCCGTGGTTATGCCATGCTATTCATATTTTTAAAAAGCTTGACTGTGGCAAAAAATTTCAAATTCTAAACATCGTACAGATTGCAGTTGGAAACTGACCTTGTGCGGTAGTATGTCACGAATTTTATCATCGCTCATTCCTGAATCTTTCAATTCCTTCTTAGCTTCTTCTGGTGTTTTGCCTTTCATCAGTGCTTCCGTCTGAGCTACGAAGTTAGATAGCAGAATCTAGATTACGTACAATGATTTGAAGAAGCAGAAAAATTGTTGTGTTCTTTCAAAGCCATTGGGATATATATATATATATATATATATATATATATATATATATATATATATATATATATATATATAC